TCCACCTTTACAGTCTGAGTAAAGAGTGCTCGGATCCTGGGTTTGGGTTGGAGTTCCAGAGGCTGGGGCTGGGTGTTTGTAGCAGTCACAGTCAGCTCCTGCCATAATTGGTATTTGGGGTTGATAGAGGCTGTAAATCTCCAGGAAGGGAAGGCAAGGATGCTCTCATTTTGTTAGGCTGCTTCTCTTTGGGATGCAGAGTGCATCTTCCAGCTCTCTGGGCTAATTAAAATGCCATTACAGTACATGTGGTGCTACAATACAGTCTAGGGAGACTTCCAAAAATAGATCCTTGAGTGCAGACAAATTAGAGAGGAAATATGCACTGAGCATTTTCTCATAGGTTTAAAGAGAAATAATCCATTTGCTGCCCTAATTGCTTTCTTGTAAATGTTGAAGGAAGGTTCCCCCCCCTCCCCCCCAAGTCCGTTCTGAGCGAGCAGACAAATAAATAACCCGTCGGTGCTAATTGGTGTTCTCATGGCTAATATTGTCACTTGTCACACGCCGCTGACGGGCAGGGCAGGCTCTTTCGGTGGACTGTGCTCTGTGGGCAGGGAGGGAGGATTTTATTCCTGTCCTGGTATCCCAGGGACGCAGGGTTGGGGCAGGGTCTGGTTTCTGAACTCCCCAGCCCCTCCCCGAGCCCTGCCGAGCAGTGACACGCAGAAATCCTGGTTGCGCGTTGCTGCCCCGGCTCGGGTGGGAAGCACAGGGGCCTTTTGATGGTGTGGCTGTGGCACATGGACACTGGGAGCAGAAATCCCTGTGCCTGGAAGAGATCCCTGGGATTGCTGTGGGCTTACACGTGTAATGGAGACAGCACATAACTCCTGGGCACTGCCAGGGACAGGGAGAGCTTGGCTTGGGCCAGCAGGGGCCTCTCTGATTCCAGCCTGATGCCAGGGCATGGGGCTTGTCCTGGCTTGTGGAGCGCTGGGCAGCCTTCCTTGGAGAGGAGGAGCTGTGGGAAGGGCATGGCAGCAATCCCAGGATCCCACAATGGTTTGGACTGGGAGGGACCTTAAAGCCCATCCAGTCCCACCCCCAGACACCTTCCACCAGCCCAGGTTGCTCCAAGCCCCGTCCAGCCTGGCCTGGGACACTCCCAGGGATCCAGGGGCAGCCACAGCTTCTCTGGGCACCCTGTGCCAGGGCCTGCCCTCCCTTCCAAGCCTTCTCAGAGACCCCTGATTTGTGCTGTGCAGTGGGGTGCTGTGCAGAAGGTTTATGACTCAGGAAGATCAGAAATTGGTGGACTGGTCTCCAGCTCACTGCGTGAGCAGAAAATTGTTCATCCTAAAAATGTCTCGGGGCCATCAGCCCATCTCCCCTCCACAGGGGCGGTGCTGGAAGAGCTGAGTTCTGCAGCCCCTCTGTCTCCTGTTCAGAAACCTTTTCTCAGGAGTTTCCCCTTGATTGCCCACGATTCATCTTGGGGGGCGATGACCTTGGACGTGTTCCTGGTGACTCATCCAGGGCTCAGCTCGGTTCCTCGGCATCGCGGGTGAACAGGGACCGCTCGCTTTGGTGGAGTCCTCCGGCTTCTCCTTCTCCTGCCCTGGCTTTGCCAGGTATTTTTCATTTGTAGTTGTACTCAGGACCATCACCAGCAGTGTGGGAGGGGTTGTACTCTCGTCACTTCCCATCCAGCCATTTTCCAGCTCGGGTTCCCGGGTTTGGGATGCAGAGGGGCAGAGCTGAGCCAGCGATGCTGATTTTCTCTGCTTCTTTCCCCCGGCTCTCCTGAAGTTTTGCTTTCACAGCTCTGTAGAATTTTCCCCCTGCTCCAGGTGTCCTTTAAAAGGCAATTTCTGGTAGCTCCTCACTTCCCTCCAGGAATTCAAGTAGGCCAGGGTGATTTGCATCGGGTCCCAAGATCTGAATACATGGAAAACTATTCAAATGACCTCTTGGTTCCCAGTTCCGCCCTGCATTTTTAAACTCATAATTATAGCAAGGCTGCTTCCAGGTTTCTGCAAGCAAAAATGCTTCAGCCTTCTCTTTTTGTTTATTATTTCTCTTTTTTTTTATTTATTTGTTTTTACAACTAGTTTGTCTCATTTCTTTTTTTTTTTAATTAATACAAATAGTTAAGTTGTGTTTCTCCTGTCCTCGTCTGCTCTGGATTTGCCCTGGATGGACTTGATGATTTTTTTCCAACCTTAATTCTTCTCTGGTTTTGTGATGTTGTTGATTTTGATGCTTCATCTTTCCTGATGGTTTTTATCCATCATGTTTCTGGTTTGTTCTGGAATGAGCTGTCACTGTTTTGCCTTTGTTTAACTATTTTTCAACGTCTTGAAACCCTGCAAACCCAGCTGTGCCTCCAAACCTGTATTTTTAAATAACTCCCTGGGACAGATTAAGAGAAAAACAAAAGTGTTCAAGTCTCCGTCAGTGAATTATGGCTTCATCTGATTAATTAATGAGTAGAAATACCCATCTGGAAATTAAGCTGCACTAACTGTTCTCAGGCTGCTGTTTGCTTCCCTCCAGGCTCGATGGACAGAGCAGGTGGTTGCAGAGTTTTTGGGAGATCATCAGACAGAACCAGCTCAGGAGGATGTTTCCTTGCCAGTGATTTTTAGCAGCTTGGGACAGATTGAGACCTCAGGGATGTTTTGCAGTTGCTGTGGTTTGGGTCAGTGTTCCAAACAGGGTTTTGTGGCTCCTAAGAGGGTCGAACCCTGTGTGGTTTGACCCCTCTGCTCTGGCCTGCCTGGCCATGGTGGCACTCCAGGCTGCTTCCCCTGCCTGTCCACTTTTTGGGAAGTGCAGCAGCACCTCCAGTGATGATGGCAAGAAACCATCAGTGGCTGAAAACGCTCTTCTTGAGCTTGTGTCCAAGTTTATCTTCAGTGTGATGGTGCAGCAGGGCCCGGGAAGCAACTGGGTTGAATATAAAAAAAAAAAAAAAAAAAGAGGGGTTTGTTTCCCTTTTAAAGTGCAATAAAGCACAGAACCACAGCCCAGGACTCCAAGTTCCCCATCTTCCAGTGGGCAGTTCTTGGAAGTTTTTAGCAGATAATTCTTTAGGGTTTGACAAGGTTTAGATCATCTGTTGGAGAGGAGGAATCAATCAAAGCAGCCTGGCTCCAGAGCAGAGGGGCTCCAGCCCTGGAGCAGCTCCGGGGCCCCCTCTGGGCTCTCCAGCATCTCCACGTCCTTCCTGTGCTGGGAACTCCAGACCTGGGTGGGGTCTCACAAGGACAGGGTAGAGGGGCATTTTAACCTACTTTTATCCACAGCAGTACTTTAGGAGAGGAGGGGCCTTATGCAAATATTTCCTGATAAACCACCTCCTTGTTTGTTTGTTTGTTTGTTTTTTCCTCCAAACAGAGAGTTATTTGTTAATCCCCAATACAGCAACCCCAGAAACGCAGTCCTGACACTCTTTGGGGTTTCAGGTGTCAGATATTCTTCGTTTTCTTCTGTGATTAATCTCAATCTGTTACGCCTTTCAAAACCAAGATTGAACAGTGTTGGTTTGTGGTTTTCTCTTTTTTCTTGATTATTTGAGAAATGCAGGCACTTTGTTTTTTAGAACTAAACAAGGCTTCGAAATCCCCCAAACTGACTTGGAGCTGCCTCCCAGAGCACCCGAGTTGGGTCCTTCAACCTCAGCAGAGAAGCCGAAAATATTCCGCTCCCCAAAAACTGGGAGGTTCCCAGGGCTGTGCCACCCACTGAATCTGGAGCAGCTGGTGGATGGGTTTTATTTAAAATAGTGAGGTTTTGCTCTGCCTTTCCAGTCTGGTTTTCTCCTCACTTGCTGCTGTCTCTGCTGTTGGTGCAGGTGAAGCCCAACTGGCCAAGCATCGCCCCCCCAGTGCCAGAACTGGGCTATTCCAGCACATCCAGCCCTGGAGCAACAAAGCAAACCCCCCCTTTTATATGGGGGGAATTGTATGGGAATAATCCAGAGGACTTGGTTGAGAGGAGGAAAACAAGCAGGGTCAGAATTTAATGCATTGACACGTCGCCTGAGGCTGCACCTCGGGGACGGGGAACCCAGGAGAAGTCCCAGCTGTGCTTCATCTCCTGAAAAAAGGGGGAAATAGGGAGAAGGAAACGAGTCTTCATATTTTTCTAACTCTGTCCTTTGCCTGAGAGAGATGGGGTGGCTTCTTTGATGTCTCCAGACAGGGTTTGGCTCGATCCTATCAGAGCTGCAGCACAGGAAGGGGGTTAGAGGGGAAAAGGGAGACAGACTGGAACAAATAGGGTTGAGATAAATTCTCTGTGTTCACATATTCATAATTACACCGAAAACATCATTTAGCACGTTTTGCTTCAACTTTTATTGGAGGTGTGTGTGTGTGTGTGGGGGGGGACACAGCTGGGAAGGGAATGGCTGAGTAGAAAATCAGGTCTGGCAGTCTCCAGCACCGGGTCTGGTTCTGTTTGACTCTACCTGGCTGCAAGATACAATCTTGGAAATACTTTAAATAGGGAACTGCTTCAGCAAGATGGATTTGTGCATCTCATTTACAAAGTATGTTTTTAATGCCTTTCTGAAATCCAAACTTATGCAAAATGGGGCTTGTTATGCATGTCTCTGCATTTTAATCTCCTGCAGTGATTTGTCAGTTTTCCTTAACATCTCCCTGGCATATTCCAGCCATTCCTCAACTTTGCTTCGTGGGGCTGTGTCTGTGTGGCAGCTCAGCTCTCCCAGCAAGGAAGGAACTGCCATTTAGTCATTCTCTGGTAAGGTTTCTCAGCTGCTGTGCCCGTTCCCTTGGACTGGGAGCTGTACCAGTTGCGGACTGAAAGGCTGGGAAAACCTGAGCGTAATTTGGGATACAGTCTCTTTTATTTTCTGCTCCAGCTGTCCTGGGAATGTTCTCGTTTCCATTGATTTGTGCTCCCTGTGTTTCTGCTCTGCATTGATAATTGGTTACTGGTTTTTTTTAATTTTTTTTTTTCCCCCTGGCTAAAAATAGCTCAGCTGCCCAAAGTGTTGATGTGATTTTATTCCTCTTCCTCTTTCCAGATGGGCTTTCTGGCAGAGACCAGCCAGTGGAGCTGCTGAATCCACCTCGAGTGAACCACATGCCCAGCTCTGGTAAGGGAAAACTTCTTCTCCTTAAACCTCCTTCCTACTCCAGGGGTGCAGGAGAACCTCCTGCAGCTCTGCCTTGCAAGTGGGAGAGCAGGATGCAAATGCCAAATGCTGGCACAAAGTCTGTTAGGACTTGCACACCTCTACTTTCCCAGGCTGGGAGAGTGGGGTTTGGGAATTCAGTGAATTCAGTGAAAGGCAGGGGGCTGAGGAGAGCCCAGCCTGGTGGGAGCTGCCTGGTTTGCCTTAGAGAGGAGAGGGCAGGAGAGCAAAGCAGCACCCTCAGGAGTCCTTTCCCAGCCCAAAAGGAGTGCTGGGAAGCCAGGGAGGTTCTTGAGCTGCTGTTTTTGTTAAGGAGGAATCTTGTGTGGAAAGAGGGGCTGAGACCGGGCTGATCAAAGGGGCTCTGGGCTGTTTGCTCTTCTCCCTCTTCCCATGATCCTGCCACGGCCCCTCCTGGGTCTTGTCCTTCTGGTGCCCATCCTGGAGCCTGGCTGCTGCTCGCAGCAGCAGCTCTTCAAGGGATGGGAACCAAAGTTCTGCTCCCAACACCTGGAATTCTGTGGAAAACAGTCTGCTGCTGGTGTTTGTGCTTCCCCCCTTCTCTCTTCCCAAAGCGTTCTGTTTCCAGGTGCAAACAGAGAGATATTTATACCAGGAGGTAGAAAACACTCTGTGCTTTGCAGGTAGCAGCTCAAATCTTCCAGAAGCCCAACTTTCCCTTCTCTGTTGCCTTCCAAAATGCCTCCAGGGCCTTTTGTATTAAGGAAAAGATCTCGCAGGAGATCTGAGCCTTTCTGGTGGTGCCAGCTGGGAAGATGTAGATGAGGTTTATTCAAAACAACTTCAGTAGATTGGGGGGAGCAGAGGGGGGATGGGCTGTGACCTAACCTGGAGTTTTGTGGACTGAAATGAATGTCTGGGGAAGGAATCTTTTAAGAAGGTCGAGCACTGGGGGGAGAAAAGGAAGAGCTGGTTGTTGACCAGCGTTTGGCTTCGGATTGAGAGGAATCTCCCTCCCTTCCGTGTGCTCCCAAACGTGTCCAGCAGGTAAGGGAGGTTCTCTTTTCCCAACCCTCAGAGAGATTCCCGTTTTTAAATGGCTGTGGTAACACAGGCCAACTGACAGGTTTGTCTCCCCGCCTGGGATCTTTGTGCCGGGTTCATTCCTTGGCCAAGGGTCCTTCCAACTCAAACCATTCTGGGATTCTGCTCTGGAAAAGCAAGTTGTGTGTGGGATTTGGGGCTGTGTGTGTCCCAAGTCTCAGGCACGGCTGAAATAATGATGTTGGAAAACGGCTTAAGGAAACAAAAAGTGGTTTGATTGTGTCCTGGGAGATTTGGTTTCAAATGTTCCCCTGCCCTGGGCAGGGTGGAGTTGAATGAACTGGAGTGGTCTCCGGGCTTTTATCCTGCATTTGGGTGGGAGATAAAATCACTGTGGTGTGATTGTAGGAAACCAGAATGGTTTTCTCCTCACCACCAACCAAGTGAAGGAGGGGTTTGACCCTTGCTAGTTGTTCTCCTCTGATGTGAAATGGTGAGAAAGTCCTAAAAATCCTCCGTCCTGCAGAGCACTTCAACTGCAAAAAAAGGAACATTTCGGGCAGTTTTGTGAAATGCTTTCAGGAGTGAACTGGCTTGAGTGGAATTGAAGTTCAGTCATTATTTAAATTATTGAGCAAAGTTGTTTTCCTTAATTCTTTACTTTTAACCCGGAGTGGGCAGGCCCTGGCACAGGGTGCCCAGAGAAGCTGTGGCTGCCCCTGGATCCCTGGAAGTGTCCAAGGCCAGGCTGGAGCAACCTGGGCTGGTGGAAGGTGTCCCTGCCCATGGCAGGGGGTGGGAGAAGATGAGCTTTAAGGTCCTTCCAACCCAAACCATTCTGGGATTCCAGGATAAAAGAAAAACTACAGATTAATGTGGTTTAGAGCCACCAGTTCCACCCCTGCCCTGGGCAGGGACACCTTCCACCAGCCCAGGCTGCTCCAAGCCCCGTCCAGCCTGGCCTTGGACACTTCCAGGGATCCAGGGGCAGCCACAGCTTCTCTGGGCATTTTCTGTTATGCCAGAGCTGGAGCCCAGAGCGTGGATATCCTCACCCTGTGGGGTGGGAAGAGCAGGAACCCACAGCTCCTCAACTCTGCTTTGTTGTCCTTTGTCTCAGGAAAAATATTTATCCAGCTCCTCCTTTCTTACCCACAAGGAAATGGTTATTAATTGCAGGGGGTGGGATGAATTATTAACAACTTACTCCTCTTTCAGCAGCCGAAAGCGGCACTTCAGTCTGCAGCTCTTGGATGCAGAGCTGCTCCTGGATGAGAAGGAACTGGCAGGAAAGTTTGCTCTATTGCAAGCCCCAACTTGCTGATTTCCTTTATTCTTCCCTCACCTTATTTAGTTCATTAATTCCCACTGATCAGCTCTGGATTTCCCGGGGTTCCTTTAGTCCATTAGTTCACTCTGATCAGCTCTGGGTTTCAGGGGATTGCTTTGTCCTGACCGTTCACCAAAGTGTCATTTTCAAAAGCAACAGTTCTCACCAATTCCCTGCCAAAGGAAGGGTTGTTTTGTGTTTGTGTAGAAGCAGGTGGTGGAGGGAAGAGCCTTGGAGTGCTTGAACTCGGTGACTGCCCAGGGAAGGAGGGGGTGGCAGGATGGGAGCAGGCATGGAAAGACTCCCGTGAAGGGTTAATCAGGAGTTTGTTCCCATCGCCTCTGGCTTTGCTAAAAATAACAGTGCTGTGAGATGAATGAAAAGGGACGCATTTTTCGTGGGAAGTTGGTCATGGATTGAGGGGTTTTTTGGGGGAAAAATCAGAGGTAATCTTGGGGGTGCCTGTGCCGTGTCTTGTCTGCCAGGTGTGTTCCCACTCCGGACGTTTCACCTGGATTTGCAGCCTTAGGGAGGTAACCAGGGTAAGATCTTTGTTGTTTAGTTTTGATTTGATTTTTGGTGCTGGTACTTTTTCAGGGGAAACCAAAATGGAGGAGCTCCAGGACTGCAGAGTCTGACAGCCTGGACTCCACTCCTCTTTTCCATCAGCTTGTCCTGACGGATGGATGTGAGCTGGAGGAGGAGGATGGACTGTTCCTTTGGTCCTCCTTCCCTTTTCATGCCCTGCGTTGCTCCCCAGGGGGCTTTCTGCCCAAATTAATTGGGGAGTGGTTTATCTCCAAAGGGGAAAGAGTAGCACCTGCATTCCAAGGATTTTAGGAATTCCTCTTCTCCCAGAGCTGCCTTTAGCAAGGTCTCAGAGGCTCTTCCGTGGTGTATATTGATTTTCAGGGCTATATTTGGCTCTGCTTTTTCTCTGGCCAGTGGAGGGAATATCAGGTGAATCACTTGTGCAACAATGCCTAAAACACCGGAGCAGACTCCAGGTGCTTCCCTGGGGAATTGCTGATGATTCATTGAAGAGACATTCCCTCATTCCCCAGGGAAGGGGACTCCCCATTCCTGGAAATGTTCGAGGTTGGACAGGGCTTGGAGCAACCTGGGCTTGTGGAAGGTGTCCCTGCCCACGGAATGAGATGGACATTTCCAACCCAAAGCATTCCATGATTCTGTGATTAAATATCTGCTCCTTTGGCTTAACATCTTGTGATTTAAACCACTCTAAACCATCACTACTTTTCCATCTGTTTTTTCATTCAAGGGACTGTGTCATATCAGATGATTCATTCATATTTGATTAGAGATTTCATTATGAGCTGGCCTGAAGTTTTTTTATGATCTAATAAAAAGCTTTGGAATCGTTGATTTGGAGCTGCAGTTTTCATACAGAGAAGAGATGTACTGCACGTTTTAGTGGTACTTTCTGGAGGTGTTTTTTAAAGTTCTGGCAGTTCTTGTGGTGAATTTTGTAGGGGGAAGTTGTTTAGAAGTTTCTGATGGAATTCAGTGGCCTTTCCCTTTGGAGAGAGGAGCTCCTAAGTTATTGTAGCACTTCTCCAGGTTGCACTGATGACCAAACCCCGGGTGAAACTTTGGTCAAAACTTGCCTTTCTTGCCCCGTTTGTCGTCCTGCCCGTCACTGGAATGATGCTGATGAAGGTCTGGGAAATCCTGAGCTGTCAGGGCATGGTGGGCATCGGTTAAGTGTCATATGGGAGGTTTTTATTTGCAGTGATGCCACCTGTCTGCAAATTGTCCCTCAGAATGAAGAAATTACTGCAGGGTTTTTTTTTTTCAGTTTCTTCTAAAAATACATTCAGCTGTTACAAGAAGACATTTAAAAAAAATACTTACAGAGTGACTGCCTTTATCCCCTGTGTTTTCCTATTCCAAAACTGTCTTAAGCTCTTCAATATTTTTCAATGTTGTTTCTCCAGTTTTATATAACAGGAGCAAATTTTTATGCTTTCAATATGATGGGAAATTGCTCTATTAGAAAAATATCAGACCTAGTTCTTTTTTTTTTTGCTGTGCTTTTCTTACCTTTGATTCTGGTAAAATGTGTTAAAAGGGAATATATATAGTGCAGAGGTAGTCAAAGGGAGCATCCTGTTGCAGGGGGGAGGCCCTGGCACAGGTTGCCCAGAGAAGCTGTGGACATTCCCAAGCAGGATCTTGGGAGAAGCACCCAGCCCTGTTGTCATTCCAATGGAACTGTGTGTGTGGGGGGGTTATTTAACCTCACACATCATGTTTTGGATTTTAAAGCCAGCTCAGATGTTCCAGAGGAAACGGCTCCTTGTCTCCCTTTCCTGCCTTTTGGTAGTCCAGAGGGTCCAAAGAGCTTTTCCTGGTGGCAAGCACAGAATCATTAAGGTTGGAAAAGAATTCCAAGGCCATCGAATCCAACCTTCGACCAAAAGTTTTGCTGGCAAGCTACAGGTGGAACATTATCAGAAAAATCCCCCCCCCCCCCCCCCGTTTTTATGGATAGAAAAAATAAAATTCCTTTCATGTTACGTGTAAATCGCCGTCCCAGGGATTTGTGTATCCTTACAGGTATAATACATATGGATATATGTGTGTCTGTACTGGTATTATGCTT